CCCCCCCCCCCCCCCCCCCCCCCCCCCCCCCCCCCCCCCCCATCTCTCCCCTTCCCCACCCCCTCTAAATCACATACACACAAGTCACGCAATTATCTTGCTCTTCCGTCCTCCCTCGGGCAGTGGTGACATGTCGTAAAGAGGAACACAGCATTGTTTATGACTCCTGACAGTTAGCTAGTGAAGGCATGGGTCTAACCCCACCCCGATTATGGCTTGTCAGCTTCAGGAAAGCACCTAACCTTTTGACCAAAGGACACTTTGGAATAATACTTGATGGAAAGTAAAGGGGAAGCGAGAGCAAGTAGGAGCCTCGTTAAAATAAGACAAGTTTATCTCCTGCTTATAAAATGAAATGTGTGGAGTTTTTTTGTTCTGATCTGAGCATCCCTCACTGCATCTGCCGATTGATACCGACTCGTACGCTAAACTTGGTTCCCTTATACTCGCTCTTCATTTGAACCTTGCTGTCCTCCTTCTCTTGTTCATCCTCCTCTTGCTGCAGGAGTGTCGAGCAGAACAATAAATCTCCCGTGTCTCTTGGCAGACAGTAGCTAATAGTGACAATGCTGTCTGAGGGGGCCAAGGCCTTGTGTTAACTTAACTGCCCTGCTAAAGGTCAACCGTTTCACAAACCATTGGTCCTTTAGAGAGGAATCCCAAAACAGGGCCGCGCGTGATGTATGGACGGCAGCAGACCTTGGTGATGCTGGGCTTTACGTGTAGTAGAACAACATGTTTGACAATGACCCCTGATCCAAATGGTTTTCTTCAAAAGTAGATCAGATTACCACAGAATTTGTCGCCTACGGGCTGTTGTGATCTCTTTGTTATATTTTGTCACGAGGTGCCAGGGGATTTTAAGAGCCCTGTGCTATGATACTCACTCTGCTTGTATCGATGTCATCACCAACGGTGGTTCAGTCTGTTGAAAGCACTTGCGCTTTCAAAACGCCACATCGGTATTTCCCTTCGGCACAACCTTTGAGGCCACCAGACAAACACCAGGTGAAGTCAGCTCCACCAACAATGACTGGCCCGAGGGTCACTGTCAACACGGGGCTTTGTTCCCACCCATCAAAACCCAAACCATAATTACAAACTGCCAGAACTGTTTCTTAGGACATAATACAACTTACATCATTTCAAAGTAATTTAGTGTAAGTGAACCTGGAAGAGGCATTTCTGGTGGTTCACCCTTTGTAAGATGCTGTGATATGTGCAGTAACAAAAGTGCTGCCATCTAATAGAGTCTTGAAAGCAGATTAGGAACCAGATGGGAGAACCAAACAGCTGCCGGTCATGATTGTTTACTGACTTAGATTAATTAAGATTAATTCCTGAATAGATTCACACACTCGACTAGCTGAGCGGTAGCCATTCGCATTTGTCTTCGAAACAGGATGATATCAACATAGAGTGGTGGAAGAAGTACTCGCTGTCTCAGCGTTGTGTTGTATCACATTTTGTTTTCAGTTCATGAAAGTTAATTGAAACATTTTGCAAGCCTTATAATGTCTTAGTCAGTATTCGGTTGTACCTAGCTCCACCCCCCTCGCGTAAGTTGTGGTTCCAAAAACCAAGATGGCGATGGCCAAAATGCTAAACCCGAGGCTTTAAAACCGTAGACCACAAACCAATGGGTGATGTCCACTTCTTACATACGGTCTATGGTGCAGGCTCAATGGACTTTTGGATTTGTACAGTTCATTCTATGTCGCCTTTGGACTTCAAATTTCTTTGAAAATAAATTCACAATTAAAACCAATCAACGCTTT